TCACCTTTTCCTTTCACTATGCATCTTGGCATTGGTTCATCTTCTGTTTCACCATCCCTCTCTCCTCTGTTAGCTTCCAGGAGTGATTTACCCGGACAGATACAGCTGGAATGGAGAAAGACAGGGGGACTTCTCCAACACACTTGTTTTCAAACTTCACTACTGTGTCAAAACCTCATTGCATAAGTGTTTGTAAAGTAGATAAACTGAGGAGGAAATTTCGCCTGAATTTCCATTGCAAAGGGACCAGAATTTATTGAAGGCACATTGTATAATCTACTCGATATGGTAAATGACTCTGCAGCCATTGTAATGAGTGTCTTGCAAGTATATGAAGGTGAGTGATATAATCAAGCGGAGTCATTCACATCAATCAGCAGGAGTTGGTTTCCAAAGCATATCACAATGAAATCACACATCGAGCCGCATGTTTTACAAATACCTAATTTCATTCCATATACAGTCAGTGTTAATAAATTATTTGTCTTTACTATTATTATTATTATTACTAATACTATTATTCTTTTCTTTATTTCTTATAGGATGTTCTGGCTTCTTTAAAAGAAGTATACACAAGAATCGAACATACACATGTAAAGCAAGTGGAAATTTAAAAGGTCAATGTACAATTGACCGTAATCGTCGTAATCATTGTCGGGCATGTCGATTGAATAAATGTTTTATGGCACAAATGAATGAAGAAAGTAGGTGCCTACATATTATTATTCTCTTGCATTTCGAGTGGAACATAGGGCTTCAACAACATATCTCGACTTTGTTCTGTTTTCTGCCATCCTCTTCATCTGGGTCCACGACTGACCAAACTCTCGTATATCTTCCTCACACGATCTCCTCCATGTCATCCTAGGACGACCCACTTGTCGTTTCCCATTTGGATTCCATTCAAGTAAGGGCCTGGTGTGCTATGTTATTCGGCGGCCTCCTTATTGCATGCCCGATCCATCTCCACTTTCTCCTACATATTTGTTGAGCTATCAGCTCTTGGTTGGTTTGTTCCCATAGTTTCTTGTTGTTTATTCTTTCTGGCCATTTGATCTTCAGTATGGAGCCAGTCAGCGAAGACAGCTGTTGATGAAAGTTTGCAACCTGTTGAAAATCCTTCTCGTGACACGCAGTGCAAGTTTCTCACCCATATAGAAGCACTGACTGACATCACACTGGTGTTGAAAATTGCCTACATATATTTTTTTCAAAATATATATATAGATTAATTACAAGATGTGACAATTTAACTTGTTGTAGTGATGATTTGTGTTATATGTAATAGCAAAACCGTAGTATTTCTATCTGAACTCAGGAAAGCAACCGATGTGTCCTTCTGTATAGCTTGAGAAACTTCAGTGAGTCACTCACGGTAATCAAAAAATACACTCTAACAATAGCAAAACACAACTGAGATTGATAGAATCTGTGTTACTATTGAAACAGTTATATCAAATATACAAAACTACCCAGACAACGCCATTTGGATGAGATACACAGTCCTAAAGGTTCTCAGGTACAAAACAATTACTTAGAATCAATAGGAATACCTGCAGTAAGGTAGGATTAAAATTCTGTCTGAAAGAAGCAAACAGAAGAAAACATCTTCCCCACCGATAGTCCGAGGTTAAACAGTCACTATACGGCGCAGTCTTGAATTCATTCAGAAAAAATCGAGGTCGTAAAATAACGAACTATTATCAACAGATCACCATCACACAACAATAAAGTGAAGTATTGTAAATAGAAATCAACCAGAAGCAAAGAAAAATAGTGATAAGGATTAAGTCAAAATGAGATAGGTAAATATTCTAGGGATGATAAACTGGTCAGGGATAAAAGGCAATAATTGCAAAACTGGCTGAGTTATTCAAAACAAAATCAGTACTGTAAATAGATAGTTCCTGAAGAAACTTAACGATTGGTTATTATGTATCATTACTACTATTGTTAGTACTGCTCCTTTGCATTCCAAGTCGAACATAGGGCTTCAACAACGCATGTCTACTTCGTCCAAATTTCTGCAGTCTTCCTTAGCTGGCTCCATTACTCCCCATAATCTCCCATCTCCTTCTCACACGATCTCCTCCATGTCACACTTGGCCACCTACCTAACGCATCATTTCACATTCCAGTTCCACTTGAGGGCTAGCCCTGCGCGCGATACCACTCAGCAGTTTTCCCGGTGTATGTCTAATCTGAATTCTAGACCATACTTTACACTACGTAATGCGTTTTCGAGGACAAATTTTACCAGTATCTGATTGATCTTATGAAATCTTAGTTAAATATAATTACGACTGTACATCATATGAAAACGAATCGTCAAAAAGATATTTTTCTTCAATGTTTACGTCTTTTTCTAATGACTCAGTCCATGTTCATTTTCTTCTACATATTTGTCGAGCAATAGATTCTTGATTAATTCGTTCCCAGAGTTTCTTGTTTCTATTTTTCTGGCCGGCTGTCTGATATTCATTATTGAGCCAGCAAAAGCAGCTGTTGATGAAAGTCTGCAGCAGCCTGTTCTAAATGCTTTTCGTGACGCGAGCAACAAAATTCTGACCCGTATAGAAGAACTGACTCACTTCACGTCGGTGTTGAAAATCCAAACTGTGTTCTTTATGCTGATTGCAGAAAATTTCCAAACTGATTTCAGAGTTATGGGAGTCTGTCTTGACTTTTCGATTCTGGCTAGTTTTGACATTCTCATATGTGCCACGTGCCTGTCGGTAAAGCGATGCCGCATAGCTAGATAAGTGAAGGAAGTAACCTCTTCCAGTTTTGATCCGTTGATAGTGATTGACGCTGTTTGTTGTTGTTAATTGGTTTGTTAGTTATGTTTATTGACTTCATCTTCTCTATGTTCACTTTAATTCCTGTCTTCTCAGCTTCCGCTAACTTGCTGGCTTTCGTCCGCATATCTCCGAGTTTGTGAGTCATTAAACATAAATCACCTTAGAAATCCAGATCTTTTTTAACCCTTCCTGTTTTTATATTACAATTTTCCACATATTCTGGACAAATGTTGCTATTGTTCCAACCAACAAAGATTCGATGATTAACCTCTATCTGTCTCCCTAGGACTTACTTTATAATGCTTTTACCTGTTCCACGCTATTGTGTGATTACATTCTAGTGAGTGCATTACAATAGCTGACTATTTTTATCAGATTAGTTAACTTGGCGGGGTTGGTCACTCTACACCTAGTTAACTTCCTATATTTTGATCATCTAAATGATCCCGATCTACAATTATTATTATTCCCTTGGGTTCCGAGTGGAACATAGGACTTACACAACACGTCTCCACTTTGTCTCATTTAATGCAGTCCTTTTTAGTTGGCTAGTTCCACGACTGCTCATAATCTCTCATCTCCTCCAACTAGCACGACTTCATCCATGTCATCGTCGTACCGGCGATCCACTCGTCGCTTTCTTTTGGGATCCCACTGGAGGACATAGCATGCGATTTCATTCGATGGCCTCTTCAACCCATGCTTGACCTTCTAGTCTGATCTATATGTTATTTTGAGCAACTGATTCCATTAACGTTTTGTGGCAACAAACCTTATCTCTCAACGAGTTGGTTTATTCATTTACCACCCTGGTTATAGTTTTATCAGGTATTCTACGCAGGTCATCTGGTGTTTCTTCCTTTATATGGTAGTACTATCGAGTCTTTGGATTCTTCATTATTCGCACTGTCTTTACCACTGACATTGCAACTGTTATTTTTCCTCACTGATCTTAACAAAATTCGAGTGCAGTCTGATGGGTAGTCATTCACTAGTAATGCCCTGCTTATTTATTTGACTTCATTATTTACATTTTCTGATTCACTGAATAGACCTCCTGGCTCGATTACACAAACATCTGGCTTTACTAATGTTCGATGGTGGGATGATTCAAAGCCTATTTATCTATCAGAATGTGATGGTTTCTTATTGATGTTAGTGTCTCAACTGCCATCTTCTTTTCGTCTAATTTGGCTTATTCACATTTACCTTAAAAGTGAACACAATTTTAACTGATTAAAAATGCCCATTAAAATTTTTCAAAATAATGGATACAGAACAAAGAGTACTCTTTTCGATGACTTCGTCATCAGGCTCTACAATTATATATACATTATAGTGAATGAATGAATTAGTGTTATAAACAACAATAATGTTTACATAACATCGAATCAATAATAATTTCGAAGGATTACAGTTCAATAACATCAGCATGACAATAAACTGAATGCCAGAATAATTATGAAAGTTAATATTACAAATTCATGAACTTATAGTCTCCACTGAAGGCTGGCCAGGGCAGTAGTAGGAGCTAGCTGGAATTGCTTCTTCTGCACACAGAGCACTGGTTGTTTGAGGTGAATTGCGATAGCCTCTGTTGTTTGGAGAATGCGGTGCTTCGATGATTTTGGCAATTTATTAGGCACCTGTTAGATTGTAGAGAAGGGTTCTTCAGTGCTGGCTTTGTGGCCGGTTTGCACCAGATGGTCCAATATCTAACTGTTGATGGTTTTAACTACACCTTTACTTAGCCATAGTTGGAGATGTTCTCGAGCACGAAAAATCAAGTTCCTAGAGCAACGGCCAATATAACTCGCTCCACCATAAGCGCAGTTGAATTGGTAGATACAGTTTGAAGTGGCTAGTCTAGTTACTTCATCTTTCAGTCGAGGTAGCACCATCGAACGTGTAGAGAATAATACATGTAGTTCACCAGCATTAAAAGCATAAAACAGAATTTTACTTACTACCATGTTTATGTTTATGGAGAAATTAGATGTATGTTCGAATATCAGCATTGTCTAACTACAGAAGACGAAGACTCGATAAAGGAATGTTTTTCGGCAATCTTGTATCTCCATATCGCAAAATTACGTACACCTTATCTGCAACGTAGTATTTGCACAGATCTTCCATGTTGTGCTACTTCTACTCTTCCTTTGTATTGTGTTTCTTTGTGTTCCTTTCATGTCTCCCATGCATCTCCACAACTCTGTATCATTTGCCTTCTCTGACATCAAATCTATCTCCCTGCTATTTGATATTTCTGCACTGATCAACGTCTCTTTATATACTACTGATAAATCTAATCAGTAGTACACGACAAAACATTAAGTGTGTTGCAGAGGATTTATGAAAAATTTAATTTAAAAAGGAGGCGAATAGTTATGGATAAGGTGTTGCGTAATAGGATGAAATTCTTAAAGAATGAGTTATTATCAAAATGAGAATGGAAACAAAAGAAGGGGTTATATTATTTATGGAAATAAGTTGCTTAAAAGAGGTGAAAAATGTTCAGAAAAATGATATCTCATTAGTTGTTTGAACGTCAGTGAATCAAAAAAGGAAGAAAGAAAGGAAGAGAGGTTGAATAAAGCTTGCACTTTTCTGTTCCGATGGCTAAAGTGCTGCAGTGATACCATACCAATTAAGTGAACTTGCACCGATTTTACTACACTATTATTACTATTATTCCCTTGGGTCTCGAGTGGGCTTTAACAGCATTTCTGCCTCTGCTATCTCTCTAGCTTGATAAACAACCACCTATAAGTCTCCTTCATGTCATCCTAGAATGCTCAGCCCGTCGTTTTTCGGCGTGATGCCATTTAACGTTCTTTTCGTCGCGTGTCCGATCCATCTCCATCTCCTTATACATAAATGGGCGACATGTTCTTGGTTGGTTTGCTGTCGTAGTTCCAAGTTGGTTATCTTCGATTTGTGACCAAAGAGGAGGTCGACTGATGACGAAATTTCGCAGTAGCCTGTTTGAAATGCTCTTCGTGATGTGCCACATTCCTGAACAATCAGAAATACTGATTTTTGTGTTAAAATTTTACATTTGCCACCTTATGCTGGCGCTGAATTTACAAGGGTAATTTTAGCCGTATGGCTAACTTTGAAGTAGGACTTTATTGAGATAGGATGATCAGTTGAGAAAGATATTAAATAATTACACTTCTCACGGAGTCACTTACACGTCTTCGTAGCCAGATAAGGTAGTGTTCCTGCAGTCTTTTTTGAATAAAACATCACCCATTTTTCCCACTGAGCAATTTTTCTTTTTGTTTTAATCCACTTCTAGGTGTACAACATGAACGTGGACCACGAAAATCAACTAACGCAGCTAAAAGATATTCTTCAATAGAATCTACTAGTAAACGGAATGACGAATACCCATTAAATCTTTCCATTAATCAGAGGAAAAGTTCAAAAATTGCCAGCAACACTAACAACAACAACAGTCGCAAACCTCGAGGATGTTATGAAAGACACAAAAACGCTGACTATTATCATTATTATTCAAAAAACCTCCTGACTAACTTACCAGTCTATATGGATGACTCCGTTCAATGTTCAACTTCAGAACAGTTTAAACCATTGATGAACGCCTTGAATTTATCAGGATACCTTTCGCAACATTTTGACTACAAACATTTAGGAAATATAATTGATAATTTTTACAACTCGCTAAGAAATGAACAAAATCTAGTGACTACATCGCAGTGTAAGTCGAATATGCAGGCAGATGCGGATGACTTGCAAGGTAAAGCTGAAGATCTTACAGTTGTTTCAAAGAAAAGGGATGAATTTTGTAGAAGTGATCATGACCTAGAATATGACAATCGCAATCAAAATATTATTCTTCCAGTAAACCAATGGAATGCAGATTATCTAACGTTATGCAATTATCATGAAGGTAGGCTAAAAAAACAGATGATGTGATAGGAACTTCAATTTTATCATGTAGTACTAGTAATTAGAATGTAAAAGGTAAATGTTCCCCATTGAGGCATTAACAAAAAAGCAAAAACAACTAGTTCAGTGAAGAGTCTGTCTTCGACGAACTCAATTTCTTTAGCTGTACAGCCACATTTATATACATTTTTTCATGAAGTAGAATAGTTACATAAGTGAGTGATGAGTTGTTATAATCGATAGAAAAAAAGAGATGAGCAAGGACGCTAGGGTAACTTAATGACAATCACGTCGGTGGTTCAGCGATAGAATGCTTGTTAACCACGCATGTGTTCAGAGTTCAATCCCTGACCGACGCGCTCCGAAAATACTCTTAGTCGATATTAAGGCCGGCAAAGTGGAAAGGTTAGGAATGAGGCTGGCAACAACATCCTGTAAAGATAAAACCCCTGCTACCGAAACTTCATAGCTCTAGCCTGATACCGTATGTTTCAATAGGAACGTAAAAGAATAAAATAATTACAAAATAGAAAATAATAAATGACAATCACTTAGTGATTTAGTTATAATGAAGTTTTACATAGAAACAAGGGAACATATGGTATCACGTAAGAGTTCAAAAAGAAATAGAAGAGTTGTGAAGAATTGAAAGAAACCAAGTCAGCAGGAAACGGGGAGGTAGTTACCATGATAGTAGAAGTGATTGATTAATTCTCCTTTGTAGGTAGATCGCCCATTTCTCTGACTAAATGGCGAGATATTCAAGTGTTGGTTTGTAAGGATTTGATTGGTTACAGGATTTCATCATGAAGTGACATTAGTTAGAGAACCATTGGAAAACCTGGAAGTACTGGACAGCCAGCTGTTTCGTCCTAGCTTGGGACTCCTCATCAGTACTCACCCACCGGGATTCGAACCCAGGACCTTCTGGTTACAAGGTGAGCTCGTATACCATTAAGCCACTGGGACCCGATCCAATGGCCAGTCCATGAATTCTAACTTCTGCCAATTGACGAAATAGCATGACCTCTAGCCAACGTTTCCGGCGAGTATTTGTCCTCATACCCAACCGGCTGCACCCTACTGGTCACGACTTCTCACTAGAATGGCTAGATCTTCAGAAATGCAATGGGGGTGAAGGCACATTGTTTTAGGCAGGCTGTTCTTCATTTTATAGATTACTTTCAAGGAGGAGTTTGTTGAGACACAATGGTCATTGTCGACAAGGTATTCAGTTATTGCACTTTTGACAAAAAAAGTTGTATATAAATGCAATTGTACAGTTAAAGAAAGTGAATTCACTGAGCTAATAGTCTTGCTTTTCTTACTGGTAGGAATAACAAATAAATTATGATAATTAGGTATATAATTATATTGCTGTTGAGTGATACCCCGACCTAGTTATCCAACTTAATCCTTTATCGGATTGATTTCGATTAGAAAATCGTTAGAGTTGCAGGCGCCTGTTCTGCCGTTGTTTGCAAATAATTAGCAGTGTGCACCAACAACTCCAAAAGTCTTCATTTCATCACTCTGATTTCAGCGAAGAATAATTTTATTTTTTTATGCTTGCTGTGCTATTAAATTTTTGCAATGGTTGAAATGATTTTCCGGGGTAGGGTTACCAGTTCCAAGCCCAACCTACCCTCTTCTTCTAGGTGTGGGACTGGGTATTAAAATAGGTGACATTAGTATCAACAATAAAAGAGTAGAACTTGCCAGAATTTGTAGTGAATGTTCTCATCATTAGTCGAACCTGAGTCTTGTTAAATGCTGGAAGTGATAACTACCCCATCTTATCAGACTGAGTGGCAGAATCATGGGATGTCTGAGTGAGTCATCAATGTATTTGAACTCCCGTAGACGTACTTAATGTGCTAAGCCTTACCATATGTATGGTTCTTAGCATTTTGAACACTACAAATACTCAGTAATTGAACCTTTCCACATAATACTGCTCTCTTTATGTAATCTTTAACTGGTGAACGAAATTTTTGATTTCGTATTATTATGAAATGATTCAAATCAGATCCTTCGTAGGTATTGGAATATTATTAATGCTAAAAATTAGACGATCATATGTTTGAGTATGAAGCTAAACCACAAAGTTACATTTTGAAACTTACATCTGCAGCAGAAGAATAAAGTCGCCAATCTTTTGATTGACAACACGGACGAGTTTATTGAACTGTATTCTGTCTCGAGTTTTGAAAGACGCTTGTTGTTCCATATGCTGAGAGGGCCGTACACTTTCTCAGCATGTTTATTATTATTATTGTTTCCTTTAATTCCTACAGGAACATAGGGCTTCAGCCGTGCGTCTCCATTGCGTTCGGTTCTCTGCTAAAGTCTTCACCTGGCTCCAAGTCTGCCCACACACTTTCATCTCCTCTTCACATGACCTCCTCCAAGTCACCCTTACACTGACGACCAACTCGCCACTTCCCTTTCGGGTTCCACTCGAGCAATGGCTTGTCTAGTGATGTCACTTGATGGTCTCCTCAGAGTATGGCCAGCCAATCCATCTCCATTTCTTCCTGCCTATTTGTTTCACAATCGGTTCCTGCTGTGTTCGTTCGCTCCCAGAGATTTCTATTGCTGATCTTTTCTGGCCATCTGATCTTGAGTATTGAGCGAAGACAACTGTTAATGAAGGTCTGTAGTTTGTTTGAGATGCTCTTTATGACGCGCAGTGCAAGTCTCTGATCCGTATAGTAGCACTGACTGAATTCACATTGGAGTTGAAAATCCGGATCTTATTTTTGATGCTGAGTGTTGTTGACCTCCACACTGACTTGAGAGTAGTGAAAGCTTGTCTTGCTTTTCCGATCCTTGCTTTGATATCCTCGTCAGTTCCGCCTGTAGTTGAAACGATGCTTCTCAGGTAGGTAAAGGAGGTTGTTTCTTTCAGGTTCCTTCCATTTATGCTGATCGTTGTCTGTTGTTGTTGCTGTGGCTGTTGCTGTTGGCCAGGAATCTTCATCATCACCTCTGTCTTCTCTATGTTCACCTGAAGTCCTATCTTCTCTGGATGCTTCTTCTGCCAACTTGTTGCTTTTCGCTTACATATCTTCCAGTTTGTGGGAAATCAGACATATATCATCGGCGAAGTCCAGATCCTCCAAGTTTGTTTTGTGTGAGTCCATTTTATGCCTGTTTCCTCATTGCCTGCTGTTTGTCGCATTATCCAGTCTACTGCAATCAGGAAAATCATTGGCGATAGTAGGCAGCCAGCTTGTCTTACTCCTGTCCTCACTTCGAAGGATTCCGTAAGTTTCCCGTTGTGGATTACTTGGCATACAGCATTGTCGTACAGCTGTTGGATGAGATGTATAATTGTCGGTGGCACCCCGTAGTAGCGAAGTAGTTGCCAAATCACCTCTCTATCGACGCTGTTAGCTGAAGACCTTTTCAAAGTCGATGAAGTTGGGTATAGAGAGGCGACTGCCATTCCAAGCACTGTTCAATGATGATCCTTCTAACTGTCTGAAAAAAACTACCGAATTTAAGGTGAGTTTTATTTATCTAAAGTTTAGATGACAAGAGAATAGCCTCAATATGAGTACGTGTCATTCAAGTGAACAGAAATGGAGAGAAGACACTTCAGGAGGTAAGACACCATAGAAGGGAACAGGTTCTATATCTGTTCTACTAGTGAAAGCTAAAAGGCTTGGAGTATAAGTTGACTATTATAGCACAACATCAGTCAACTAAGAATATCAAACGAATTGAAGTCTTCTCAATCCAACTTCTAAGTGATTTGGTGTGTTGTGCTGCTTTTGAGTGTGTAGTTTCTCAGCACCACTACTTTTCAGTTATGATGTTAATGAGAACCCCGCAAATGGAGGGAAAGTGTGATGTGATCAACAATTGTCTGTCTCAGGAAGGCTTCGTGTGCTTTTGGAAGTGTGTGGGCGGTTGTTACTTCCTGGCTGCCCACACCGTGGAAGTTGATTGATTCTTCGGGAACCTGAAACAGAAAGAGTGTTGCGTGACCGCAGAGCCCATGGGACAACTGCTTGAGGCCAGTAACGCGCGGCCTGTTTTGTTTGTTCTTTTTTGTTTGGTGTGTCTCAGTAGCACATTTATCACTTCTACCCTGTGACACGGCAGCAGGAAGCGTGGTCATTGTTAATCCGGGCCCCGACCGATCCGGCATGATATTTTGTGAATTTGTTTGAATCATAGTATCCAAACAACCTTTCTGGCATGGTAAAACCTACAGGAACATTAGTTCCAGCCAGTGTAGCTCGTTGGGTCATTGCGATATGCAAGCCCGACCACCACGTCAAGGTAGCAGCTATCGGTCGGGATCAACATATGTATCTAGCATGAAAATAATAGTTTTATGCTAGAAAAACAAAAATAGTGCAAGATAGAATATTATTTATTTATTATTTATTTTTACCTTTACGTCCCCTAGTGGAACATAGGGCTTCAAGCTAGTGGCTTGAAGTTTCTGTAGCAGTGTTTATTTTACAGGATGGGGTTACTAGCCTCATACTCAACGTAATACTAATAATTGCTATGCATTATTGAAAACCACCCATACCAATGAAGAGTGAGTAATAGTCAGATGCGAAGTGATTTAAGCACTGAACAGTCATTTCTTTCTGTACACTGATTGATATCTACAAGGTCATGTATTGTATTCTGGACATATTTTAGCTTTCTAAAAGACAATTGAAGTGAATACAGGAGTAAGACAAGACTGCCTATTATTACCGATGATATTTCTAATTGTGGTGGACTGGATTGTGTGGCGAACTGTCAGGAGACAGAAGATAGGAATATACTGGACTGACAGGAAGACTCTAGAAGATCTGAGTTTGGCGTATGATTTATGTCCAATGTCACACAACCTCGATGAATTACAAGCGAAAACCAACTAACTGACTGAAGAAGCTGGCAGCGAAGACAGGACTCCAGGTGAACACAGAAAAAACGGAGGTGATGAAGATAACAAACCAAACCACTGTAACAAGCACCAATGAATTCCAA